CTTCATTCTTTGGTTCACATAGCCTGCTTACCCTGCATTTTTTAAAAATCAGACGATCCCAGATAAATGTGCGACTGTTTCGTTTGTCTAAAATGTTAAAGTCATGCTGCGTTGTTCAGACCCTGAATATTACTGCCAGTAGTAACACATCGTGTAGGGAGCAGATTGGTCACAAAGATTTAGAATAATTAATGTACTAACTCGATTACAGCTCACCGTGGGATTTATGCCGATGTGTTTCTCCTAATTTCACACATCTATTTAACTTTTCAGATTTATTTGTTTTGGTTTTTAAAAGTACGTCTTTACAAAATGACCCACAATAAGAAATAAATTTAGCATTTCCATGGAGAGAGTTTCCGGGAAAGATTTTATCTTTCCCTACCGTGGTGAGAGTTTCCGGGAAAATTGTTAGCATTTAAATCTTTCCCTACCTTGGTGAGAGTTTCTGGGAAACTTTTTATCATTTCCCTACCGTGGTTAGATTTCCAGGTAGGTTTTAGCACTTCCCTGCCTTGGTGAGTTTCCGTGAAAATTTGTAGCATTCCTTGGAGAAATTTTTAGCATTCCCCTATCTTGGTAAGAGTTTTTAAGAAATTTTTTTGCATTCACTGGTGAAATTTTTATCTATCATTTCCTTACTTTGGTGAGAGTTTCCGGGATAATTGTTAGCATTCCTTGGTGAAACTTTTTATCATTTCATTACCGTGGTGAGAGATTTCGAGAAAGTTTTTGTCTTTCCCTACTTGGTGAGAGTATCCATGAAAATTTTTTGCATTCATTGATGAAATTCTTTATCTATCATTTCCTTACCTAGGTAAGAGTTTCTGGGAAAATTGTTATTATTTCCCTACCTTGGTGAGAGTTTCCGAGTAAATTTTAAGCATTCTTTGGTGAAATTCTTTATCTATCATTTCCTTACCTTGGTGAGAGTTTCCGAGTAAATTTTAAGCATTCTTTGGTGAAATTCTTTATCTATCATTTCCTTACCTTGGTGAGAGTTTCCGGGTAAATTTTAAGCATTCTTTGGTGAAATTCTTTATCTATCATTTCCT